AACTCGTGGGTGCCTTTTACCGCACTTGTTGCGTAATATACTATTTCCAACGTTCGTTATTTTTCAATAAACATTAATAATTGTATAGGGTGGGCCGTTTATCTTGGGACACCCCCATATCTCCGAAACTATAGGGGGATGGAGCCAAAAGTTAAATACAAAAGTTAATTGAGATGTTGGTAACCTTTAATTTATTTTAATTTTGTATATACAGAGTGTTTCATTTTTCGTGGGCGAATATCAACTTTCTTATTTTAAATGGACCATCTAGTATATTACTTCATTTTTGAATTGTGTACAAAATTCTAGACAGGAAGCGTTTTTTGTTTCACGTGAGTAAGTTTTGTTTGTTGTTTTTTTAATGGAAACTACCTATTTTTATGATCTTATAATATTTAGCATTAAAAATTAAGGCAATTTTGTATAATGTTGTATATGCATAATATTTTTACTTTTTGAAATATTTCCTTTTAAACACAAATAATATGCTGTTGCCCTATAGGTTCAATTAGTTTGGTGGCTATGACGGTGTTTGGACAAGTGCTAAAGTGCTGCCGGTATGATTTACCATAATCTTGCGAAGCGCTTATGAATTTCTTGACTTGTGTGATAAGGAGCGCCTTCGTGCTGCCAAATTAAATTTCGTTGTTCACTTTCAAGCACTTCATTTTCAACAAGGGGATGGATAATATTTAAAAGCTCTAAGTAGCCTTAGGAATTTAAATTGTGATAAAAAAATAGTGGACATATTATTCAGTGAAGCAATAAAAATAATAAAAGACATATGAATTTTTATTATTTTTTTTTGCTCCAGTAATGGGTATTTTTCCAAATAAAAATTGAAGTCATCTGTGCAAATAATATTAGCAAATATATTTTCTGAAAAGTGTCTCTCTATAAGATCGTTGCAAAAATCTAACCTAATCTTCACTTTTGTATTTAACTTTTGGCTCCATCCCTATAGTTTCTGTCCCAAGACAAATGGTCCACCCTATACAAGAACATCTTTGCAATGAAATTTTGGTTAGTTTTTCTGAAATTTCCCCAAAGAATACCTTTCTTTGCATATATTTTTAAAAATTCTTGGTAAATAACAAAAGGCATTTTAGTTAGCGATGCTGCTTGATTTTTTATCTAACTTGAAACACAAGCTATCCTTAATCTGACAAGGAGAAGAATTTATCAACGTGTGCTTCAAAGGATATAGTTTTGGCTTTTGACGTACCCTGTCTCAAAAAGGGATTACGACCTTCATGCCTATTGTTACTGGGTTAAGTCAATAACCAATAATTTATTCATAGGTAAGGGACAAGACAGGCTCGAGTCATGTAAATGTGGCCATGAATAACGTTTTACCGTGTTATATGGGGTTGAATTCACTTGTCATTAGATGCAAAATAAATTGTGACAAATATACCTGAATATTTAGTATATAGTATACACACTCACAAACATGCCGGTGTCCTCGATAAAGAATTGATTACTTTCTATAAAACTTCTAGATTCCCCCTGCGTCGGTTTTTGTTAAGTCGAACTAGCTGACGTTTCGCCAATCGTCCTGTTGGCTTCTTCAGAGCTTGACTGAACCTGGCTCGCATTTTACTCTGTACCTGCTTTTATATTGTTTTAGATGGTGGCCATAAACACCGTCTTGGATGACTGATTTTTTTTTAGATTTAGATTTAGATTTTTATAGCATCTCGGATTTTTTCTTGCTATAAGAATTGATTACATGCAAGAATTTTAGTTTTATTGAATAAAATTTTATTTCCGGTTATTTGTCTTAGTCTTAAGGCTCTTTCATGTTCTTTGAACCTAGTTGATATTTTTCGTCCGGTCTCTCCAGTGTATTCTTTGCCGCATATGCATGGAATGCTGTAAACTCCTGGCATCTCGAATGAAATTTTGTCTTTAACGGATTGAAGATGTTGAGAGATTTTTGGACAAGTGATAAATCTTTTTGGACAAGTGGTAAATCTGGTTATATTTATTTAGAACTTTGATGTAATAATAATCTATCTCCGCCCCACTCAAACAATATAAAGGCAGGTGCAGAGTAAAATGCGAGCCAGTTGGCGAAACGTTAGCGAGTTCGACTCAACAAAAAAAAGAAGCAGGAGGAATCCAGAAGTTTTATAAAAAGTTTTACAGTAGCCTGTGGAAGTTTCTTTGAAAAATTAAAGAATTTATAAAACCTAGCGATTTTCAATCTCATCGTCTGGATAGCAATGGACCAGATATGAAGCAAAATCACAACCAGATTGTTCGTAACTTTAGATAAACTGTAAAAGAAGTTAGAAGAAGATGCATCAAATATAATAATTAGCCGTGCCACGTCCCATAGGATTTAAATACGACAAAATAGACAAAAAAACTAATGTGATTTTCTTACACCCTCGTTAACATAATATAATAAACACCTTAAAAGCCCATCCTAGATAATCTCTGGCACAATACCGATGGTTAAGTGATTTATTGCCATTGACAGGTTATTTCGATGTTGTCAAAAGCCAAGGTGATATACTTTGAATATACCTAATATATACATCAATAATCTTAAAACAAAAACAAATTAGTTTTTAATAGTCCCAATTGATATCACGCTTACGATAAATAACCAAAACGCCGTACAAAATTTAATCTAAGTTATTAAGTAAATTATAATTATATGTATTTATATATCTATTAATTTATCGTTACCTTTTTATAGGTTTCCCATTCATCTATTCCCGCAATCTCTTTTTAAATATGAATTACATAAATTACCTATTAATAAATGTGATTGTTGGTGGAATTGCCTGGAGTTTTACATACTCTCATTACTATTCTGTCCATTCCATTATTACATTTTTCTTCTTGCAACTATAAATATATTATTATTATTTGTGAAAATATTGACAAATGTCATTAAGAACATCTTTCTTGCATTTGAAGGTTGTATTGAACAATGGTTATTATCTTCTTAAAAGCACTGTTGTTCAGTCACAAAGGATTATTGTTAAAAGTTAATGTTCATTTTATTGTCAGTTGTATGGACCACTTCAGTTACTAACCAAGTAATTAATAGTGGCTCACAATTAACCGAGATGGAGGACACTATTATTTTTGCTTTTCTATCTACGAGGAATGTTTTTTTCTGCTTTGTTTTTATTCGTTTTATTTCAAAGTTTTTGGGGTTTAAAGGTGTCGTTTTCTTTTTGATTTTTTCTGTTCACTATACATACAAGGCATGTCATTCTAACAGAAAAAAATTGTGTTGGTCATCTCTGCCTACTCGTACTGAGGCATTGATATCACAATGTTGTACAGCGCTGAGGTTGAAATATTGTACGGCCCTTAACACACCAACTTTTTATTAAAAAATACTGCTAAACAAATAAAGGAAATACTCATTCAGATGCCATTGCTTTGGAGAGTGGTGTTCCTCATGGGAGTATTCTGGGACCTATTCTGTTCTCTGTTTATACAGCTGACTTCTCTACTTTTCTTAAATTTTGTAAATCAGTTCAATACGCCGATGATGCTCAGTTATATTTTATCTTTTGTTGCTAGTGAGCTGGAGGACCCATATAAAGTTCAGTTAGCCACCTTTGTTTTTTTACTAAACTCTAATAAGACTTGTTTGATAACATTTGCAGAGGAAATGATATTCATAATCGAGACACCCGTCATTGTTTAAGATATTCCGTTCCTAGACAGACACACTTCGGTAACTTTCCAGAGATCTGTTAGCTATAAAGCAGTTAAATTATTTAATGAAATATCGTATGCTGTAACGTCCCTCCCCACAATAAAGTCCTTCAAAAAAGCGTTAATATTGTTTATTAGGCCCGCCAGTATCTAGCAAAAGCGTTTATGATGTGCGTCTATTTCTCGTATTCACGATGTATATACGGGTGTGTATTTTGTTAACAATTATGGTGTTGGTGCTGTTGTTCTTGTAGTTCTACTCTTGTATTATAACTTATATTGTAATATTTGGATTTTCAATTATTATTATTATTATTATTATTATTATTATTCCCTTTTTTGTAATGTTGTTTGAACTTTGATGTTATTTTGCCGCTTGCTTGATGTTATTGTTGTTACTTAATCAATAGTCGTGACAAAGTACCGTGTGTATACTTCTTTTAGTATTAAAACTACTTACTACCAATTTTGCTCTAGTAGTCAGTGTCGTGCCGCGCATGTTTGCGAGATGTCTCGAAGCAGTATTCGAATATGTGTGCGTATGTGGTTGTGTAATTTACATCGAATTTCCAATAAATTACGGGGGCGACGGTGCGCAATATCGTCCTGTTGGGCGAATAAAACCCTTGAAAAGGGCTAGTAAATTGAAAGTAGTTCTATTTTCGTCTCGCCGGCCAGTGTCTCGTCTAAGTGGGGACTTGAAATATTAACAGGTCGATTAATAATTCAGGGTAATAATACGTGCCGGAAGGAAAGGTTAAAGGGTGCCCTTTTTCTATGATGGGGAGTCGCTAAGGGAGGTTTTCGCCGGGTGAGCGTCAAACCGGCAACGTTGCCACGCGCGTAGAAAATAGTCCCCCCTAACTATTTCGATTGTTAAGGGGGGGGGGGTGTATACTTTAAGATTATAGAGGTCGCCCTAAATACACTAAAAGTTTCATAATTCCATTGTTAATTTTCGATTTTTCGCACGTTTATCGTCATTTAAATGTTTTAACAAGTGTTTATGCAAGGAAAACTTAACGGCGCAACGCAAATCCACGGTATTTTATAAGTACTCGCAAATAATTGTTTGTCATGTCAAAACAAACGTTCAAACGGTTGTTTTGATCGGACAATCTAAATAATATGCCATCTTGTACTGGGATTTCTGTATTTAAAAAAAATATCCTTATAAGTGATTAAAGATAGAAAATATATCATGATATACTTCCCAGTATATCCTTACTGTATAGCATAAATAACCCTGGATGAGGGTATTTAAGCGGAGCTCCTTGTTAATGAAACGTGACCTTTTTTTATTTTTTCAGGAATAAAATGTCCCGTCTGCAGCAAATTCGTAGTGCCGGACGACATTGAATGTCATCTTGTAATGTGCCTCACGAAACCTCGCCTTTCCTACAACGGTAAGCCCAAAGTAAAGCGCTTGCAGGGGGCAGCTCCGGCGCAGACAGGAAGAAGCGTACGGCGCGCCCCCTGCCGAACAAACCCGGCGTTTTTGTTTTTTAATCGAAACTAACTCGATTTTTACGTTAACGTTGCAGAAGACGTATTGACGGATGATAAAGGCGAGTGCGTCATTTGTTTAGACGACCTTAGCCAAGGCGACGTCATTGCCAGATTACCCTGCCTATGTATATACCATAAAGCGTGAGTATGGCGTCGCGTACTAGCCTTAATGAACACTAAAACCGATTTGAGCAGTCCACCCAAGCGCAGAATTGGTCAAAACTGAATATGGCGGGTTCAAATCGTTAATATTAATAGATATCATAAACTCCTTAATTTTTGAGCTGCAGAACCTTAAAGTTTTATATTTATCCCAATTTTTTAGAATCAATAGCATGGCTGCGTGGACGTCACTGGTTAAGGTAGAAAATTAATTTTTATCCAAAAAAAAGGTAAAATTGTAAAAAGAATTATGATAAACAATGCATTGTTAACAACAACATCTATTAAATTTTTAGGATTTGTCTTGATAACTAACCAACAATAAAGCATCCTAAAAATCTGATCATATGTGGTTGAAATTGTATCATTAATCTGTAAGTTTAAGGTGTTTCCTAGGCCTATTGGTTTTTGTAAATAGCATAGAATATTTTTTCTTCAATCTTTTTTAGCAACAAAATCCTAGCTGTCTTCCTTGGGTAAATTTAATATGCACATTAATGTACTTGTTTTATTATTTTTTTCCTTCAAACGAATGGACTATAAAATGTTTTTGTCGGGTGGAAACCCATTTGCTGATATCTTTGTTGCTGTTTCGTTTCAGATGTATAGACCAATGGTTCGAGGTGAACAGATCTTGCCCGGAACACCCAGGGGATTAGCAATAAGTCTTGTTAGCGCCGTTGGATATTTTCCTTATTAAAGTAAATATATGTAAATATTGTGTACATACCGGAAGAGACTGACGATTAACAAAATATTAAAGACAATGACGAAAGAAAAAAGAAGAAGGAGAAGAAAAAGAAGAAAATCGGTAAAAGTAGTAGGTGAAAGTTACCTTTTTTCCGTCGCCTAGGAGGAGCGACGGTGTGGCGTCTTCACGCGTCTTGGATACGGGATCGGTTTTTCCCATCGGTTTTAAATAGCTTTTGTACCACCCGTTCGTATTTCGTATATCGTTTTCCCAGACGCCGCAAACTGCTTTCCGCTAATGTTTCATTTTGTATATTTTGCCGTTCCGCGTCCTGCCGCGGGATTACGGGGATGACGTCGTGTCGCGCTTACAATAAAATATTTTTGATACTTGGTAAGATCCCGTTGTTTGTTTATAAGCCAGCCGAATTAGAGTCTAATCGAGGTTATTTTCATAGAGGCCGCCACCCGTCATCAGACGGTACGTTTTAGGACAATGGCATGAATCGATTGGTAGCCATTTTGAAAGTTGGGCAAGTGTTTATTAACAATTAAAGTTTAGAAAAAATGTCTTTTTGACTTGTAGCGAAAAAAAAAAGTGGGGCTGCTTGAAAGTACCTACAAAATGAACCGGAATTTGAGTGAATCGGTGGTCAAGAAAACAAAAAAATTATGGCAAAAAACCGTCTGTAACGGTTGTTTTTTAAAAAATGCAGAACATATGGAAGAAGCTTCATACCCACACCAAAAGAAGCCTCTCGGGTCATAAAGGGAGCAATAAAAATTTCAAGTAAAAATATTTTCCTTATAATTAATAATTTAAGTTTGTTTTAATTGCATATTTGAAACCATCCCAGAACGAATGGGCGTGTGCGCAAATCAAAGTTCAATTCTTATTATAATACCATTAAAAAAGAAAATTATGACCTATCGATTTTAGATTTATTGGAGTTTTTTTTTTGTTATAAACAAATATAACTCATCAGAAGATAATGCATGCAAACTGGATATAATATTATATATTATGAGCTTGCCTAAAAATGAAGATTTGTTATGGTAAGCCAGAAAGGGAACACAATGAATCAATGGCGGTTGCGTTCGACGAAAGAGTCTGCTGTAATATCATATATTCCACAAATACTATTTTCTACTTCCATCTTTAAACACTACCAGAAAACGTTTTTTTTTTGGTACTGGTACTTATTAGTCAGGTTAGAATTTCTTGTTAATAAACATGTTGAGGAAACTAAGGGCTCTTATTTTATGCCTGAAAAAATGGCGACCGTTAATGAAATAGTTTTAGCTCAACGTTGTGTAGTACTGAACGCGCCTATTGACGTTTCAGATTATAATGTAACAAATTAAAATTTTCACAATTATAACATAAATAGTCGAATTAAACACACCTGAGACAGTTTTAGAGATAATGCAAACCACATCCAATGCCTTTGAGCGTTCTACGATATATACTACTTACTAAGCACAAATATACAAAAAAAATAAATATATCCGCATATGCAAATTCACAGTATTGCGGCATTTTTGCGTAGTCTTTGCAATAGCAATATCCAGAAATACCTTTTCGCTTTCAAAAACTCGTTTTTCTCGCAAAAAAAATAAGCAAAAGCAGATGTAGTACACGACGAGGCTAAAAACTCGCCTACATTCTCGTAATCGTTTAATTCGTTCTAATGTACATGAAAAAAGACATTTCCTACAAACGCTTTTGTCCAAAAAAAAAATTCTATTCCTTAGTTTATGGGTGAAGTTTAACGAAATATTAGCAAGGAAGATATTGAGTTAAGTTCCTAATTTACCTATAATTTTAAATACATAATATATTCTGTGCATACAAAACAACAAAACTTTTTTCCAAAAACTATAGCTACAGCTACAAGTCAAAAAAGTTGTTTTTTCACACCTCAATTGTTAAAAAACAAATAGCCATGAACAATAGTTACCAAATCATTCCTACCGTTGTCCTCAAACGTACCGTGGAGCCTGATACCCGGGTGGCAATTGTGAGTGCCCCAAATACTAATTCGCTTGGATTATTGGGGAGGGTTTAAGCGTTTAACTTTCCATTTTTTTTTGTATAAATTTTAGCCAAAGACAACCTGACCGCGTTCGGTTTTCCACAAAGTGATTCGAAATTACGGTGCTAGTTTTTTTTGTTTTCGGTGAGAGTGGCGGTTATAGAGGAAAATTGTTTTTTGCACTTAGCGAGTAAGTTCCGCGTTTAGGGCGCGCGCGTGCACAGCATAACCACCCCGTGAGAGGTAACGAGAGACGCGCGCGTGCGCGAGGGATTTTTTAATCGGTTTTGATTTTGTATCCGTCGTTGCTGACTTCTTTACTCGGGAAGTGCCATATTTTGTTTATATTGAAACTATTAAGCCGATATAGGTAGCTATATAGTGAAAGAATAAAGTGATACGTTTATTAAATGAGTTACACCCGATCCTATCCTCGATTACCTTGGAATACCCAAGGGACCAAACATGTCGCAATTAGTGAGCGAGAGAGACGACAAAATGATTAAACTACACTTTGGTACCATCCATACCTTGCTATGTAATTCCATACTTGTTGTTGAGTTTGACAGTTAAGATTTCTGTTTTGGTTAGTTTTGGAGTGTTTTTTGTTTAAATAATGATTGGGGCAGAGAATGCACCTATTATTTTTTTTAAATACTTCTTCAAAGACATAACAAAACCTCATTAAAAAAGGTTCACCAAAATTCTGATATTCAAGTCTAGTGCAAAGTAAAATCATGCAATTGACATCCAAACTTGTAAAAAAAGCTACATTTTAAATCTCGGAACGTTAGAGCTCTAACAGTAATTTTTCAAATAGCTCAAGAGTCTTATATTGTCATGGTGGTGATCCCGAAAGTAAACATACGTGGCGGTTCATAGAAAATTATTGCATTGTTGCATGAAATTAAGGGTTTGAATATTTTACAAGACCAATCTCGCTTTGCAGTGGTTACAGCTTGGTTAGTTCTGGTTATTTAATGTTTATTGAGATCCATCAATAGACCAATTAGTGTGATGTTTGCATTTGACAACGGCAAACGTTTCCTTTAATAATGAAGACTCGGATGAATCAATGATCAGCAATACCAGTATAAACTCACATAAAAATATTCAACCAATAAAATCTTTCTTTTCACCTCATTGAATTGGAAAACCGCCAATAGCCTGTATTTTTACGCCATACTAAATATTTCAATGTAGGCAACCCACAATTTCTCTAGTCATTGAGCGTTCACGGTAAAAACAGATGCGGCTCGGGTAACTGATATTTTCGTCAAGATGGTAAGAATGATCATCCGGGCGTATCTCTACATTTCACCACTAACCTGCATTTTGCGCCATTTTCTATGTAAAGAGTAATAAATACTGCCTTAAAAGTTCCGCATCCAAACTTATTGACGACCTGTCAGCGGCCATGTTGGTTGTACTATCAGACAGACAGCGCGTCTATATCTATTTTGGCGAATGCGCAGAGGCGATAATTGCAATGGTAAATTGCCATATAGTTATAGCGGCCCTACTAAAAATTGATGCGCCGCAGATGGCTATTGACTAATTTTTATAAGAACGCAACATCAATCTCTTAAATCCAAACATAATTGGCAACGCCGAGTAATCACTATACTATTGTCACAGAACAGTCATTGCCCTATGCCATTGTTGTTTTCATTTTTGGTGTCAATATCTCCGTACACACAAACTTGTTTAATCTGTGCTTCCAATACAATGTTCTTTTACGAAATTACAGCAACTGTGACCAATGTGAGAATCTAATAGGATCTTGGAGAAACAGTGATTCCTATATATTTTACATTTAACAAACACTTTAACAACACTTAAATAGCTACGAAGAATGTTTGGGTAATATGTTTTAGTGTACAAGAATTACAGGAAATATAAGAAAATAATTAAGCCACAAATTGAATTTTTACTAGAACAAGCATAAGAAATACCCATTGTCAACTACTGTGTATCGGAGGTGCGTCTTGAACATTTTTTCCACTTAAATGTTTCTTGTGCGTTATCAAGCATATCAAAGTTATTTCAATAGAGGTTAAACCTACGAGTTTATTAAAAATAACGCTTTGCGCCGATTTACAAGCAAAAAAATACATGTAGAAATTGCATCGTATGTACAGGGCTTAAAGAACAATAGCGCCAAATTAATTACAGAATTATGCTGACGCCGACGCGGGTACTGCAATTCTGCAATACTTTTCCACACCTTAACTCCTTTTTTGTCTAAAAATTTACTAGGACTTCGACATATTTTGAGAAAATAGTGTCGTACAAATGCCGCATCCAAACATGGACGACTTGTCAGCGGGCATGTTGTTTGATGAAAGCCGAACGAAATTTTAAATCTCGCGCATGCGCACATTGGAGCTCAAAAAATTTACTTGCTTCATGACTTCCTGTACTGTCAGCATAGGCAGGGCCTCTACACGTCTAGTAGCAATATGGTCATTGCTAATCACCAAACGTTTTATGGAAAGTCATGGTTTTAATTTGTAAAAACTGTGGGAAATTAAACGGTAGCCGTTGAAATAACCTTTTTATTTTCATTAAAAGCACGCGGTTTATAAACTTCGTCCATCGTCCGACTGACGGCGCCACGTTTGCAGCTTCCTTTAAAATTATACAATTATGGGGACGAATTTGTTCATTAGTCGGAAATTTTGGTGACTGTTTAACTAGCGGATGCGGTAAACGCATAAGCCGCCAATTTAAATGCCGAAGAACGAAAACGATTACATTGACAGAATGACGTAGTCGTCACTAACCACCGACAACTATAATAGTGGGTTTGTATTCCACCACGCGTGGCCGATGTAAATTGTCAAAGTATTGTGGATACGGAACGTTTATTCAGCGTTAAATAAGCGCTTTAAACACCGCAATCGTGATTCGTTTCTCTCCGTGCGCCGGGCCAAGAGTTGATGTTTGAGGCTGCCGGCCGAATGCCGATCATCGCTTCGTATTTCCTCTTAAAATCGCTCGAGCGTTCGCTCTTGGTTCACGTTTCACTTTCGGTCTAGGTAGGCCGCGGGTCCGTACGGAGTAGTAAGTAGGCTCGTTGTTCGCGTCGAAAAAAAACATCGCGAACAAAAGAGTCGTCGGTGGTCGTCGCGAATTTTAAGGAAGAAATGAGCGTGTAGCCGCTATGCTTTGGACACGATTCTTCGGTTTTTGCGCGATCTTGGCGATCGCCGCCGGCCAAAGGAGGAATTTTTCGGGCCTGCGGTGCCCGAACGAGTGTTACTGCTTCCGAAAGACCGTGAGATGCATGAAGCTGGATCTCGTCGCGATTCCCAGGGTGCCGAGTGCCACGGTGACGCTGTGAGTATTTTTTTTACCAGTTTTACACGAACAGTTGTTGACATTGTTGTTCGCCAATTATCCCTCAGTGAGTTGTTAATTTTAAACCGTTCTGCGTTAACAATGATTTTGTTTTCATCTTTAGGAGTTAACAGCAAACAAAACATTAAGAGTTTTAGATAATAGTGTTTCGTTGGCGTCGGATCTTGACGATAGTTTTGATTTGTCATTTTTTGTCACAGATTTTTGGTGACTTCATTATAATCACAGAATTAGAGGATCAATTTGGCAAGAATGTAGCAATAACATTATATATGTGTTCCATCGCGTTACCTGCGATGGTGCATTGACAGATACAATTTATTGTTAGTGACATTAAATTCTGTCAAAAATCGACTGCGCTTTAGGATTATGTGCAAAGTGGGAACGATACAGTGCGATGCGACATTTTTATTGTAAGTACTTTGCATTTTTAATTTATTTCGAAACGGGTTAATATGCAGATAATGTTCGCTGATTGAAAAACGAACTTTTTCCATGTTTTTTTTTTCTACACAATTTATATCGCCCGGTTTTGCCAGTCGTTATAGGATTGGATAATAATATCATCGGCGCCTAGGCGCGTTGCCGAATATACGAGGCGGTCGCAACAAACCTGATATATTCATTAAAAGCGAACGATTATCTGAGGTTTCCAATTTAGGTCTTATATTCATATAACTGAACTATCCACTGAACTCGTTTCCCAAAATAATTAACCGAATTTTAGTATTTTGAAAAAATGCTGCCATGAAAGTGCTACATCTAAAGTGAAACCTGTCGAATGAACTGTCAGCGGTCATGTTGTTTATAACACCGCTAGACAACACTGTTGTACTATCGCCCCGATATACAGTCGGTCAAAAAAGTCTCCGTACACAGTATTTTTTCAGTTTTCTTTTAGTTCTTCTTTCACTTACATTTATTGAGAAATATATTTCAAATAAATATCGGCAATCTCATTAAGAGTAACAAAAATAAAATAAACATCATTTGAAACGATAAAATATAAGGCAGTTTTAAAAGCAAGAAACTATGTCAAATAAGTATTCTTACACTATTATTTCTTATGATAAATTGAAAAGTTTATTAAACTCTACTATTTTGCAGTTCCCAAAACTTCCTGGTTTTGTTAATGTGTTCTTAGGCCAATTCCAAACATTTTTCTCGATTCTTCTGGCAACGCAGCCGTTACAACCTGCTTGATGCAAGCAGTTTCTAATCGTTTGAGGGCTAACATTTTTTACAGTTAAATGAGTTGTTTTTGTTATTTTACCAATATCTCTAAAGGATTTCTTCTGTTTCAATCAATATACTATGATTTTTCAAAGCGCAATTGGAATTTCGTTATTTTTAGCGCTAATTTTGCTTTTACTTCAAAACTACTGACTTAAAAGTGGCGTCAAAAATAAACAAGTATAACTCATTTGTTTAAGCGAAATTTGATACAAAGCTGACTTGATAAAATATACGGTTCTACCTGTAGTTCTGAATAGTGTTTTTTTTGTCTGTTTGTCCGTTCTCCGTCCTCCATTCTCCGTTCTCCGTTATCTGTAGACACTTCATAAAAACACGAATAACTTTCGAACCGTTGGTGCCAGGATGCTGAAACTTTTCTCCTTTTAAACTTGCCATGAGGCACATTAGCACATAGGAAATGGCCGCGATTAGAAATTGGCATCTGTCTTTTTTTTGCGATTTTCTTCTGTTTTTCGTACATCGCTATGAGACACGATGAGTGTCCGAGATTTACTTCAAAATTGGTAGCTTAGTTCCCTGACGGAACCTATTGAAATTGGGAGGCTGGGGGGCCAGGAAGTTTTTTTAATAATTTAAAAACCGCATATGCAGAGTCTCGAGAAAAAATCATTTCTTAAAAACGGTATAGATCATCGAAAAAATTCTTAAACCAAAAGACGTGCGAGAACCAGATCAAAAACTTTTATTCTTGATTATTTTTTTAAAATTGTACATTGAGGTTCAGCCAGACGTGAAAGACACTTTATACAGAGTGCATAACAAATAATAACATCGATTTTGCGAAAGTTTCATAGTGGTCCGTAAAGGTACGATATAAAAACAATGCGCCCCTCTAGGATGAGGAAATGCGAAGGGACTTTTTTTTTTAATACAAAGCTGCTTCGGGCTACGCGCTAGGAACTTGCCCCTCCCAGCGACGATTTTTCGAAAGCAATCTTGTTCAATTCGAACCCCCTTAGAAACTGCAACTTTTACAACATAACCCTTAAAAACGACCCTAGAGGGCGCCACTGATACAACAAACACGACTTTTGTAAATAATTCATCACAAAAAGGAGAACACATAGCCAATATATTCGTTTATACATTTTGATTGAGGTAACCGGTACTGAAAAAGTAACAAATTAAAAGACAGTATTCCCGAAAAGTGTGAATTGTTTAGCCGTCGTGACAAGTCTAACTACCCCTAAGTAACTTTCCGGCGATTGTATAGGTTTGGAATCCAATACTGGGCATGAGGGGTTCGTACCAGGATGGATTGTAGTATTTATATAGTCGATTACGCGTGAAAAATTGAACCGTACTGCATTTTGCGCCCGCACAACGCTCTCATCGGCCTAGCTATGCGAATTATTTACTGGCGAGCGTTTCGGCGCAGTGCGTTTATTAATAAAATCCGTAATCTACTTCTGATTTACTCGAACCAGACGCATATTTTGCGTTCCGACTCCGTATCGTTTTATATATTCGCGGCACGTCGGTATTTGCCGCGGCGGAGCCCTTTAAATCCTCAATAGATCTTCTGTAGACTTCAACCCACCATTGAATTAGGTTAGAATTCCTAAAATTTCTGCACGTACGTAAAATTAACTCCTCAGCGCATGCGCGTAGTAACTTCCCTTGTTCTCGGTCTTACGTATTAATGACTCGAAAGACGTGTATCGTCGACATTAGGCTTAATTACGGTATAACCCGCGCTTTTGTCTGTGACCACAATGGCAGACAAAAATACAGAACGGATCTCTGCGTCCCAGTGCCGTACGATCCTCGGAGGTGAACGATTTTGTAAGACTTCAGATAAACCTGCATTTTTAACAGGTAGTACTGAATTAGAATATTTAAATTTTCTATTAAACCGTTCCAGTTTTTGAGATTTTTTCTTGATGAGGTTGTTGATTTTTTCTAAACATTAAGCCGAAATACGTACTGGAATTCAGTGGTTTTCTTTATGAAATAAAGATATACTAAATCGAGTACTAAATACACAAGATCGAGATTTCAACTTTATTTATTTTTATCCTATAGATTTATGAAAACAAATTCTTTCCAATGACTTTCACGGTCAAATTCTAAATTTTTTGCAATTTGCTACCGCATTCATCATTCCTGCTGGAGGCCTGAGATGCTTCGCGTCCTTCGATATCGATTCTAGTCGATTTAATTTAAATTTGACAGTGTTATTTACTAAAATAGGGAGTTAATTTAGTCCCAATTAGATTCAAACTTTTATTTATTTTGTCGAAAACGAATGAGGTACAAAAAAATCAGTGGCGCCTTGAAATAGTGATTTTGTTGACACTGTTTTAAAACAGCGACGAGCCAGCTGAATAGACTTTGACCGGTCCTGCGTGTTGGGCAATGAAAACGAGAGACGCAACCTCTCTGGAAGATGACTGGAATATTCGACTGCTATCGTGAGCCGGGTATATAGTGAATAGTGATTTTGTTAATTTTTCAGAGGAACTTCCACAGGCTACTGTAATACTTTTTACAAAACTTCTGGATTTCTCCTGCGCCGGTTTTTGCTGAGTTGAACTAGCTAACGTTTGTTTGGCTAGTCTTCTTGTGGGCTTCTACAGAGCTTGACTGAAACTAATCATAACCCTGAAAGCAGATAAAGGAAATGGTGGTCATGACGATATGATCCGTCTTGCAGACGCAACCTTAAATCTGTTATTAAGGCTTCTTCTCTATCAGACTCCGTGAAAAAATCTGTCACGCCCCATGATTCTAAAATTCCTTATCTCTACGCACTCCCAAAGATTCACAAACTAGGATTACCCCTTCGACCTATTGTCAGGACCATTGGTTCTCCAACATATTCTCTAGCAAAAGATCTAGCTTTCTTATTAAAACCCTTTACAGGGAAAACTGATAGTTTCGTACTTAATTCCTTTACTTCATTGAACAATCAAAAAGCATTACATTAGATACACAAGATATACTAGTTAGTTTCGACGTAGAATCCCTCTAAAGTTCTAATTCCTGAAACTCTCAACATCATTTCAGATGTATTAAAATCCGAGAATCTGGAACCAAACCTCCTCATTTTAATTGAAAAATGCTTGTCAGGAACATATGTTTCCTATAACTGTCAAATTATTGAAATATTTCGATGATACTTTTGTTATTTGGCCTCATGGTCAAGAATCTCTAGTAGATTTTTTTAGACATTTAAACCCTATACACCATAACGTACGTTTTACCATTGAGTTGGAAACTAATACTATCCTCCCATTCTTAGATATTCTTATCAATAGAAAATCAGACCTAACAACAGTTAAGCTATTATCTTGATTCGGGTTTAAAGGCCGTCGTCGGTTGGAATTATTTCCTAACGTTTCGCTAGCATGAGTGGCGAGCTTCTTCAGAGGTCCTTCCATCTCCGATGTTGGACGTAGACTGGTCCGAATCAAGATAATAGCTTATCAACGGGCCGCGAAAGCCTTAACCAATTTATCTAACAACAGTTCTAAAGAAATATAACGCCAAAACCAGATTTATCACTTGTCCAAAAATCTCTCAACATCTTCGATCCGTTAAAGACAAAATTTCATTCGAGATGCCAGGAGTCTACAGCATTCCATGCATATGCGGCAAAGAATACATTGGAGAGACCGGACGAAAAATGTCAACTAAGTTCTAAACATGAAAGAGCCTTAAGGCTAAGGCAAATAAACTCATCAACAGTTGCCGAACATAATCACCAAACCGATTCGTTA